AATTTTAAAATCTCCTGGTTGTACTTAACTATCTCCGATTTCGATGATAGCTACATCGGACTTGGAATTACATAAAATTTCATATGTGACATTGCAAGATGAAATGAAACTGGTAAGAAGAGAAAGATACATTTTTAATTTCTAATATGCTATTGTGGAAAATTTGAATTTCAATATATTGTTGAGATTTGTTGACTTGGGGAAGACGGGCAACCGAAACTCCATTAAGTCTATAAGTGCAATATGCATACACAAAGTTACGTGGGAGAAACCTCGAAAGACGTCCCAACTCAGCCTTCGAGTTCAGGCTGGAGCAACTGTCCAGATTGGTCAGAATGATGTCTCTCGTTAAGCGATAACAAATACTAGCGCAAACAACAATGCCTAAAATGACCTCCCTCAGACTAGCACTATGGAACGACAACGGAGTCTTCTCGAAGGCGAATGAAATCTCTGCCTTGATCGAGCTCCACCACATCGACGTGTTTCTTCTCACGGAGACTCACTTCTGCTCCTATATCACCCTCTGTGTGCCAGGCTACGCTCTCCTCACTGCCAACCTCCCAGACAGCAGCCAACATGGAGGAGCAGCAATACTGATCAGGTCGTGCTTGTCACACCATCCGCTTGAGTCATCCTGCCACTGGCATATGCAAGATGAAGTTATCCGACTCAGATCCGACTGAGGCGACTTGAACCTCGCGTCAGTATGCTGCCTACCGGTCCTAAAAGTGACTGAAACACACATTCAAGCCCTCTTCGACCAGCTCTGCCCAAAATTCTTGGCAGGGGGAGACTGAAACGCCAAACTCCGATGGTGGGGAAACTAACGGATGTGCCCCCGAGGGAAAACGCTCTTCTCTGTCATTGAAACCGAAGGCTTCGAAGTCATAGCCACTGGAGCGACAACGTGCTACCCATATAGAGCTACTGCAACACCGAGTGCACTTGACTTCGGGCTCTACAAGGGATTCGGACAGGAACAGCTGAGAATGAGAAGCCTTCTGGACCTGACCTCAGATCACCTTCCACTACTGTTTGGCTTTAGAAAGTCTCACGGCTACCCTGAGCAGGTCCACCGGGTAGTCAACCATGTACTGGAGCCATTTGAACAGAAGAAATACTGCGTCGGAGTGTTCGTCGACGTCAAACACGTGTTTGACAAGGTCTGGCACGATGGCCTTCTCCACAAAATCAAAGCTCCCTGCGCCATATTTCAGCATCTTCAGCTCATTTCTGGCAGGACGACCCTACAAGTGACAACCGATGCTATCGAACGCGAACTCCGCATAACAAAAGTCGGAGATCAGATCAACTTATTCAGTAGCCAATACGCCGACAAGCTACTGCAGCATCCGAATGCGGCCGCCAGGGTCCTGACTGACCCCATTAGTGAGAGGCGGCTCCAAAGGCTTCACCCCGGCGACCTATCTACGACGCGAATTATTTCAATACCCTATTTTCCTTCGTTGTAAATATCACTACATTGTAAATAACATATAAGTAACACTCTTGTAACTTTACCTTTTCCCTTATTCACCCGCTTGGTAGAGATCAGAATTAATTCCAACGCAAAATAAAACATGCTTATAAAAAAAATGGCATGCCCAAAAATATAAGTTGCGAACAGCACGCAGAATACTCTTCGAATTTGTTTAAAGGCTTTTGCACCCAGTACGAAATAGCGCTACACACCACCTCATTTAAGCAAACTTCCAGTAACGCACCTGTTGAGCGACTACACTCAACCTTGACAGAGATGTACAGACTAATCTAAAAAAAAAACAAAACGAAAAAATTACTTAGAATTTACGGTGACATTTTGTCCGAAACATTATTCACATACTACAATGTCATCCATTCATCTACAAAGCTCACGAATTGCTGACAGGTCGGACTCATATTTTCAATAATAGTATTAAATTTAATAATAAGCATGACTTTCTAAAAAAACAGAAGATACACAAATCCAAAGTACAAATATTTTTTTAATGAAAAAGTAAGCGGCTCTAGTCGGGGGCTCCCGACTAGGGGATGCTCTGAACCCTCTTCTTTCAACACTTAATGCAGCTCGCACTACGCGCTCATTTGCTTTCGAAGTAATAAAAATAAATTTTAAAAAAATATTTTCCTCGGTAGGGTTCGAACTTGCAGCAGACCGCACTACTTGCCGCCGCCTATACTCAACATCCAGCCAAAACACGTTGTCTTTGTGTTTCGTAACCGATCTTGATGAAATTTTCAGTATAACTTATTTTGCTATAGAACATTCGTATATTCTCAAAAAGTCAATTGCTTTAAAATTGTAGTTTAAGTTGGTGGGTAGTTCAAATGTATTTGATTTATTGCTACGTAGTGGCTTTTAACAATTTTTTATGAGCCCAGGGTATAAAAAAAATAGGTCCCTCAATAGGACGTGCGACTGACCACACTTGCCACCACCACACCACCCCTACTCAACAGGCAAACCAACAGTTTATCTTCATTTCATTTCAATTATTCAACATTAAGAACATTATTCAAGAAACTGGAACAAACTCAAGATAGGTTGAATAATCTAATGACCAGCAAAAGACAAAAAAGGGGTGATGAGTGTTTTAGGTAATTAAGTTTAAGAATCTATCAGAACTTTATACAAGTATATTAAAGTAGGAACTACGAGAATTTTAACATTGCACACAATAAAAACCAATATAAATACTTTAAGAAGCCCTGCATAAGAGTACACTACACAAACATTTGTAAAATTCAAGTTAGCGAAAATAATATAATTTACCAAGATTGTCTTAAAAATATACTCCTTAATAAAACGGGTAATTGCGAGACCAAAGGCATAGGAAATCAATGCCGAATATTCAAGCCTGAAAAGGGGCACGTCTTCGTGTTCAACACTTCCAACCTAAAAATTGAATCGGATTGCGGAGGAGATTTTATAATCAAACAATCCACAGTTATACACTTAAGGAATTGCACAGTCACTATTTACGAAGAACGATTCGTCGATATGTTCATTCGGATCGGAGATAAATTCAACTTTTCAATCCCAGCAATACCAAACACACAGACCAACTTAGCCATCGACGAATTGGACCTAGACAAACTAGTGTTGGAGGATATCAACAGCCATCGCATAACGAATTTCCACCCATTCTTTTGCCATCTACTCCATACTAACTATAGCAGCCATTATCGGAATTGCACTCTTTGGATGTTCCAGAAAAAGAGCAACCTTTGAAATCAACGACAGCAACACTAACCTTCAGGCCAAACCTCCCTTATGGCCCTCTCACAAATCCAAGGGGGGGAGGAGTTGCCATATTTACTCTCAGGCTGATACGGCTGGTCACCCACCAGCTAAATCCCCTCTACGCCCACTCGAACAGAGTACATTGTGCTACATTGTAGGAAGGCCGACTTAAACACTTTAATAGGTTGCGACGCCCTACATCCTTCATCGAATAAACATGTAGAATTATTGTGGATTTCAAACGGATCAAACCTTGGCATTTATTTCATTTCAAACCAAATATATAATTAAATATATTTCTCATATACACTTAAACCAAACATCTAACCCATCTACAGCTTCTACACCTAAAAGACGTTACCCGCCGCCAACGGACTGGTAACTATCGTAGTTAGAAGCTTTAGGTCAGAAAGCGGCAAGGCTATAAACCCAACACAAGGTTCCAAAACCAACCCAAGGTTCCAAACCCTAAATCTACCAAACTAGGTTAATAGTTTGCGCATAGATACACTCGACGTAGAAACTTACCAGAGAATTTCAAGGACCAGCAAGAGCATTACTGGAATCGCATAAACCAGTACTCAACTTTGATACCATTATAGCCAGGTTTGACTGTATTTACGCTGACAAGACATCGCTACGCCTCCTATGACAGGGACTGGAGACAGTCAGGCAGGGCAATTTAAGCCTAATGTAGTACTACGATGAAGTCCAACGAAAGTTGTCTCCCGTAACCAACAAATTATTATTACAACTCATGAACAAGAGAGATTGCTCTGTGAATAGGTTAGATCTTACGCATTGCATTCCTTTGTTTCAGACTTAAAAAGTCTCTTAAATCAATTGTGTCCGGCACAGCAGAAAGATCTGCCGTCCGCCATGGCGTTGGCCAGGAAAGCAGATGCCAGTAGTGAACGCTGCATATTTTAGGCCTTGTATTCCTAAACCAACGATGAAGGAGTTTGGGCAGCCGAGCACAGCAAGAATCGTTCACATGTCAGGCAGGCAGGAAATAATAGAGACCGACGGGGTCAAGAGAGAAACCTCGATTTCCTTAACTAACCGCAGCATCCCCAATTAAAGTTGGGAGGAGAATAACAATGTAGGTCAAGACCACCCCGATACCATGGAGGTATTTTCTTCATAAAAATGCATGCAGGAAAAAAATTTCAGCATGCCACAAAATAGTGGCACACAAGTACAATAAAGGCAAAACTAACCGGGCCAAAGGGGCCTGAGGCATAACAAAGTTATTCAAAGTGCCCTTGAAGATCAGGATATAGCCTTTAATAACGGTGCAACAGCCGCGGTAATCGGTATAAAACACGAAAGCGATTCGTCATGTGGCAACGAATAGTAACCTGATTCCACTATGCTCAAGTGTCCGTTGTCGGTAATTTGTGAGTGGTGAAAGTACCGGTTCTTTAAATAAACAGCGGATCAGTTTGAATTGATTTGCCTTAGCGCCACAAATGTTTTCTTCCAAAAGTCAAATAATACGGCCTCGAAGTAGGGGCTCCATTTATTGGACCCTTTGCGGGATTTAGCCATCTTTAAATGTTAAAAACTTTGGAGTTTGTAAAATTTAAAATTATAATTTAGAGTTAACGTTTGCCTTCATTGCTATATCAGCTGTTTGTGGGAATGATACTTTCATATTTATCATAACATCGATACGAAATTCGATAAATCATCGCAAAAACACTAACTATTCGGGGCGAATACCAACATTTTTTGCAAATATTACATTTTTTTGCAAATGTGAAAAATGTGGTTTTTGATAGGAAAACATACAGGCCACATATTTCACATTAGAAGAAAATTTTACATTCGCAAACAATTTAAGAAAAGTTGACAGTGGAATTGGGCTATAAAAGGGCTATAATCGTAATTTCAGTCGACAACCCTTTCACTGCGAACTCCATACCTGACTCCAGTAAAAATAAACAAGTAAATGCACAATGAAAATTTTAAGGAAGATTCACAATTTTTTTTTTATAGACACGCTCAGTACCTTTGTAGACATTATGATTGTTAACACAGGCAGGAGTTACATTAGACTTACACAGAAGCACCCTGAAATATAAAGAGATATCGGTACCACCAGATTTATGTATTTAGAGGCACAAGACCGCAACATTACGTCATTCTCGGTAAGCGGCGGAAAATACGAATTCTGTGTTTGTCGTTGTGTTTTAAAAAATGCGGAAAGTACCCGCAGAGATGAAGTATTAAGAGCCCAAATATGCAAAATCTGTTACGTCTATGTGGTCGACGTAATCTTCTCTGAAAACGAAGCCGATCACGTGCAGCACATTGACATAAAAGTCTCGCAAGAAAAGTCCTTTTAAGAGAACGTCGAATACTAATGCTTCTTAGTAAACAGGGGTGGGGCAAGAACAGACCCGGAAAAGGTTAAAGCCTTACAGGAATATGTTGAGCCAAAAAATCTTTTCAGAATCAGATAATTCTTCGGCTTTGCCAGATACTTAAATGAAAGGGAATTACTAGCCATTGTTTGGGATCTGACTAAGTTGCGGATTTATTTAAATGGTACCAAATAAATTAAAATTTTTGCTGACCATCAACCTCTTACCTTTGCAATCTTAGACAGAAACACAAATCAAAAGATAATTAGCAGCTAATGTCTTTGTAGTTTATATTTTTTTAGCTTTAGTTGAGCTTTGTATGAATATTGGAAGAGCCATAGCTTAATAAACTTCATGCCCCGGCAACTGTCGTTTAAATAAATATAATTAATTAATTACAGAGCCACAAGGCCAGTGATCTGGAAGCATATAGCTTTGCCATTATAATCTTCAGACGATATCCAGCAAATCTACAACTAGATCACCGCGGGACAATAATCTGGTTTATCGAGGAACAACAATAAACAATATGCAGGTGGACTTGATACGGAAATTTAAAAACCGAATTTGTATACCATACAGGTGTATACCTAGCTCTTATTATTATGGATTGAAATCCATGCTCTTAAAATCGACTTTTTCGATATTATATAAATGGAAAGAGATATTGACGAAAAATGATTATCTTGGTCCGCTTATAGTACTTTTGACGATTTAGAAATCGTCCCGTTCCAATAAACAGTAGTCAGTCATGCAGACGGACATGGCTAGATCGACTTAGCTATTGATGGTGAGCCCGAATAAATATTTTCTTTTAGGTTTCTTTTTGCCCGCTCCAAAAATTTGGCCAAAAACAATATACCATTTTTAATAGGTTCAGCGTTTAGAAATATTTATAACACATACAAAAAATGTGTGATCCGACAATTGTATAGGCCAAAATTTGATGTGGTCTTCATAACATTTTTAATATCCAAATATGATGCTATTCTATATTGATCGTCAGTATTCTACCTGTATTGCAAATCAAAAATCTCTTTTTTCGAATTAACAACAGACGGTATACTAATACAATAAAATAATTAATCATGAACTGTGCCTACACCTCTTATAACCTCTGAGACGGGCATTTCCATACCAACTGATAGGCGGGCATGGTCGATCGAAACAGTTGTTTATGCTGAACATGAATATAGTATGTTTGTAATTATTATTCCGTTTTCTTTGCAGTGGATACGTTTGTACATATAATAATCTAAAATGTAAGATGTAACAAAAGTTATGCAAGCAAACAAAGAGTTTAAACTGGTATGCCAGTGCGATCCTTTATCTTGCCGAGAACATTTACATGCAACTTTGAAAATCCACTGGCCTTTTTCCAGGGTTGATTATCAATACGGGGCAGCCCTGCTGTAGACACACCTACATCCAAAGAAGCAGATGACAACGGCGAAGAGTGCTTTGACTCATCCAAATGCATGGATTGTTGCGTACTGGTGTCAACCGAGAGTAGAAGCTCATCGCTTTTGGGCCTCATCTGGGTGGAAGGTGTGTAAATAGGCTGCAACTTATCAATCTCATCATCGATGGCCTTAAATTGCCAACTCCAGTTGGCGCGATAAAGGAATGGCCGATGATCGAATCGATTATCGTCGGGACTGTAGTTTTCCGCATGCACGGAAGGTGTCAGTACGGTCATTTTATGCCGATTAATGGCGTAACAGCGAAAGAAATGCTTGACTTTTTCTGCTACTTCTTTGGGACTAAGACCGTTTTTCCAAGTGGCCATTAGTCTGCAGAACATGCTGTAAGGTCCACAGAAGAATTGCTTGCGGAGGCGACCATACTCGCTAAGTTCCGCATAGCTCATACCCATATCTTCTTCATCTGTTTGTAAAAGTTCACCATTCGCCAGCAACGGCTCTAGCTCGGCAGTGGGAGGAGCATCGATTATAGACTCTAACACAGGAAGATTAAACCTGTAAAAATATGAGACGGTGAGCTAGTAAACCTTAACGATTCAATGTGGTGTTGCTTACTTTTTCTTGGCATAGACCAGAAAACGTCGTAAATCTGTCTTTGAAATGCCGCCAATGGGATTGATATCCGCCGAGGAGCAGTCATACTTGGTTAGGTAGCCACGCAACGATTCATCTACATTAGAGGAGCCTAGAACGAGCAGACCACCTGGTCGGTTGCGGACCCAAAGCATTAGTTGAGCAAAAATATAAGCTAAAACCATGCGAATGCGCGACTGAATATTTTGCAGTGCCAGATTCTGCCTAGCGCAACCGCCCTGCGTACGAAAGACCGGTGTTAGTCCGGTTACTGCATTAAATATGCTCAGCAACGCGTTCACAGCCAGATCAATACTGATCTCAATATGATAGCTGCCCAGTTGGTTAGCTAGCTGAGCAGCACGGCGTCGCGTCTCTTTGCTGCTGTTGACGCTTCCCATGAAACAGGTGACTAAAAGCCGATTGCATAGTGCTGCAGCATTAATCGGTGTATAGTCATTATCGGCAAGTATTTTGCGTATGTCATAAAGCACCTGCGCATCACCAAGTTGTACAGCGTGCACTATTTGCTGGCACATGGAATAAACAATGGTCGCAGAGCTGCTGGAATCAACACCTCCGCTTAGGGGTAAGAAAAAGCCACCCTGACCGGAACGGCGTAGATAATCCCAAAGCCAGCAAGCAGGTCCCAAAGCGATTTCCTCTTCCGGTGTGTGAGTCGTAAGTTGCAGTGGTGGCGTGGATGTCTTGAATATGTCACTGTGTGTAGACATTTCAAAGTCGCAACGAATTCGAGGATAGGTTATAGCTCCTGCGGCTGCTGAGCAGCGCGAACGGAGACTTACGCGATAAGCACGAATCTCTTCTAGATCAATAGTGGCCAAAATGACCTCAACATCTTGAAGTGCAAATTGCTTGCCCCGCGCCAATAGATCACCGTTAAGCGCTATGGCCGAGCAACCATTAAAATAAACTCGTTGGCCATCACAGCCGCGTAAATTGCTAAAAAGATAGGCACCACCGGCCTTAAAGCTTGCATTGCATATGAGGTCGTTGGTAATGTGGGCCTTTCGCAGCTCCATATAACTTCCAGAGCCGTTGACAATTATCTCCACACCCGAAAGTGACATCTCAATGTGCTTGCTGCGCACGTTCCATAGCTCTTCACATATTTCATATCCGATGCATGTATCCCGTGTCGCGATTACCGCGTCACCAATAGACACCGACTCCTGACCAGTATGTTGCGTAATTAGACGTGGTAACAAATATTCCTCAGTTTGCAGTGATTTCGTCCAAGCGGTAAACCAGCGAGACTCACGATAGTTGCCATCGTCGCACATGGCCATCTTGGGACGGATTAACAGCAGTTGACGGTTAAAGAATGCCACACGACAATTGTAGGCGACATTCTGATGCATTACTGGCATGCCCACGTCCACTAGCATATTCTCGCTGCAATTTAATCAAAGATATCAACAATAGCCAGGAAGTACGTTAGGAATAGTATATTTAAGCTAACCAAATAGGGGACATCATGATTTCAACTAATGTTTCCCAAGAGTGAAGAAACGTATCTGGCTCACGAAAGTGATCCTCACAGCTGTAACCACTATTTTAAGGATATGATGCATTTGAAGATTACAAGTTATTGTACAAGCCCATAATGTATGTACCTACCATACCTCCAGTTCAGGGCCAGTTCGATAGCTGGCACCCATATCTTTGGCCTCAAGTATAGACTGCAATATTCGCGCCATATTTCCCTCAAAGTCCAGAGCCCATTGGTTTAGAGTGGTAACCGCAACAGTTATTTTGCGTCCCATTTTTATTGCCTGGAGAACGTTTGTTTAATTAAAAATTGCGACCTTTATATGGGCAGTAATACGCTGCAACATATATATAAGATATTAAGTGGTATTTCAATTCGAGTATAACTATTTTTTTTGAAATTTTGCAGTTTCTATATCGTTGCTAATGGTTCCTGCTATTGATTAAACAAGCGAATGGTTCAAATGTTGGCTACCTGACGAAGACGACATTTATTAATAGAATCACAACTTTTCCAGTTCGCAATGACTACGAAACCAAAAAAATCCATTGCTTGTTGAGTCGCTTCGTATATCACTCAATGCCAAATCATAACCAAGGACGTTCAAGTTACTTATACATTTACATTCATAACAAAGCAAGTATGCATATAAATACGTAAACTGTATGCATAGGCATACAATTATATTATGAAGTTGTGGATATTGTTGTAATAATCAGTAGGAGGCGTCTCTGATCCGAAGACTTTTTATAATGGTTTATCAGTACCAATAGTCGCTTCCATTACGCTATAACATACAGGTCTGTATTAGCGCATTAGTCACCTTAAGGAGTAGAGATTTACAAATGGGAAGATAGGTCTTTATTACACCACAAGAAGTGAGTTTGCGTCATGTTATCGAGAACAATTAAGCATATCTCGAAACTAAAAGGATGTCTTTTTCTGGAAAGCTGGAACCCCACAATTTGATTTTACCCTTATAGAGTTTATTATACCTTTGTCATGAAATGTGTATCGCATAAAAGGAGTTGTCTCCCACACCAGGTGACTTTTATATAGCCATATTCGGTAGTCCGTTTGCCCGCTTCTATTAAAAATAGTCTGTCAGTTTTAAAGCTATCGTCTTAAAACTTTACATATGTAGGTCCATCTGTCTGTTACAGGCAGTAAATATGACGGAAACGACTGAAACGGACTATTTTATCATATAGCTGCTATATAAAACGATCGGTCCAAAAGTAGGTTCTTGTTTGGAAATATTTTCTTTTAACAAGATATCTCAACTTGCCATTTAATATTATAAGTATCTGTCCGTCCATCCGTCTGTTCGTCTCTCCGTCTGTCTGTTTCTTTGCGAACTATTCTCGCAGGCAGTACATAACTCGGAAACGGCTGAAGCGAACCACTTTATCATATAGGTGCCTTAGGAATGATCGGTCAAAAGTAGGTTCTTGTAAAAAAATGTTTGTTTAACAAGATATCTCGAACAAACTCGGTATTTATTAGTTTCACTATGCTCCCTGTATATGTCAACATCGGACCACTATGTCATATGTATAGCTTCCATAAGAACGATCGGTCGAAAATTAAATATTGGTATGCAAAATTATTTTGTTTTTTAATATATTTTGACTTAACACGGCATTTAAAGGTTCCACTTTACTCCCTAAATATTTGCAAAATTCTTTTAAGGGAAACTTTATGCTTATCAAAATATCTGACCCAGGAACGATCGACCGAAAATAACGTTCTTGGCATTTTTATACCCTTTAAGAGGGAATTATGATTTTGTCATGAAATGTGTAACTCATAGAAGAAGACATCTCTGACACAATAAAGAACATAAATTCTAGATCAGCATTAACAGCTGGGTTGATATAGTCATGTCCATCTGTCCGTTCATCCGTCTGTTCGTCTGTCAACCTTTCTATTTCTGTTCGAACTGGTCTCACAGTTTCAAAGTTATCGTCTTAAAAATGTACATAGGTCCGTCTCTCCAATGCAGATAATACATTTATAGGAACTGTCCGAATCTGAGCACTATTATCATATAGCTGTTATAGGAACGATCGGTAAAAAAGTAGGTTCTAGTTTGAAAAACCGCTTTTTCCTTTTCAACATATTTTAGTAAAACTCGCCATTTATTAGTTTCAATATGATCCTCATATATAATCAAAATCTTATCAACATCGGACCACTATGTCATATAGCTGACATAGGAACGATCGGTATCTTGTATGGCAAAATATTCCGTTTACGAAAATTATTTATCAAACTCCGCATTCTATTCCCATATATCTGTAAAACCGTAAGGTAAATGCCTACATTGCAGAAGAGGGTGCAGGGCATCCCCTAGTCGGGGACCAATCTCGGGTTTTTTTAGTATAACTATGATATGCAAAATCATATTAAGATTTTCCACTATATATATACAACATAGAGGTTCTTATATGGTAAAATATTCTTTTTTCCAAGATAATTTCATCTAACTCAGCATTTGCGAGCTTACGAGGAAACATCTTCAAGGGGGTTAAATCTTCGGCGTGCCAAAGATATCCTTACTTTTTCGTTTTTTATAATCGTCTTATTCCAGAGTGAGTGCCTATATTTTATCATAGTTTTCACATTTTATAACCGCCTGTTTTTGATTGCCAGCCAAGTTTCTTACAAAGTTTTGAGTTAAAATAACTAAGGGGGAACTCAGACGTAAAATATTAGGATCCTTACGCATAGGAATACCGATTCTTCACTATCGCATGGATTGAAGTAATGTTGTCCCAGAGAGATATTTCATCGACTTTGTATGCAAGAGAGGAGTTCATTATCGCTAGTGATTTTTGAGAAAATGCATGACTTGGGCACCAAAGCAATTGGATATGCTGATTTATTCATTCCAGTATCCGGAAAGTTAAGCAGCAATATCGCAGTACCAACACGACGCTTGCCTGATGCTTAAATATAAGGCTGAATACTAAGCCACAGAAGGCGATTGTTATTTTCTTCTCTAAACTGTATTGTCGATATGGGTCAACTCTTTGTCGGTTTTGGCTCCGTGGAACTATCCAATAAGCTAAAATATATGGTCGTAGTGCAGAATAAAAGAATCCATTGAAATTCCCATCTTTACAAGTCGTTAACAAAAGGTACGCCTACAAACGTGGGACTTTGAATCAAAAACTGTAACTGGTTGTATAACATGGTGGTAAACACTTTTTTCTACGCTGCTCTCGTCTGTTCGCCAAGTAACTGCCATCAATTGCTGGCGGCAGCGGCTCGTGTACATTGCACTGACAGAACTTAAGCACACAGGGCAAACTGTGGCCACTGAGACAGTCGTTGGTTAAGATTTTCTGCATCTACATATCAAAAAGATGGCCGTATTAAACATGCTTCACATCTGTATCACACAGAGATCGTAAGAGTTGGGTCCTGCCAATTCACCCCAAACTGGTCTAAGGTTCTGTAAAAGATTTAATTTTAAGACCAAGGAACTTTGGGGCCATGTTCAAATCGTTAATCCGATGCCTGGGAGCCCGGGAAAATGGCAATTCCTCCAGCAATCTCAGATGCATCAATGCTTCGCTGATGAATCCAACACTGGACCCAACACTCGGATCTTTACTGCAATAGGTAACTTACTCAGAAAAGGTCCAAGAAAAAAGATCTTAAATATCTTCACGTATATCCAAGCTGAAATTCAGCTTTTTTCATGACAAAGGCTAACCTCGAAACTTTTAGCAGATTGCTGAAAATGTGCCAATCAGCTCTAAACCTACAACACGGTAATGCTTTTCTGAACCATTGGCCACGCCGGTATTCAAACTCTATGTAAATATCCAGCCACAGAAACTGTCTCCCCAGCTCAGATCGGGCCCTTCATTTGGGAGGTGGAGCAACACTTGATTTGATCGTCTCGGCCGCAGTGCCGTCTCCTTATTTTTTAAGAGACTCCTACATTATTATTAAATTAAAGTATCCTAAATGAAAATTTTTCAATTAACTGTTGACAAGTTCGCATAGGCAGCAATGCGCTTTTATTGACAAACACATTTGGATGATATTTGTAAGCCCCCAATTTCATACCGAACATGTTTGCGTTATTTACGCGAACTTAAGAATTAACAGATCCGCACTAATAGCTACCACGCGTCTATGAATTTGGAAGTTTTTCACAAAAACTTGATCATTCCCAATTTAGATCTAATTTTCCAAAACCCCTTATTACTCACTTTAGACTAAAGATGGGCCTTCCTTTTTTTTGTGTCTCAAGGGCAACTAAGGAAGCCCGATGGGCTTGGGCTTTTCGTACCGACCCGGGCACTTTCTCAGGGTGGTACTAGGTGATACCCTGACCCTTCTTACACCAAAACCAAAAGCTTTAAACAAGAAATATAATTACTTATTCAATGTTCCAAGGTTTATAACTAAAATGATTAAAAAAAAATTAAAACATGTACGAATACTCAAGTCGGGATTGACCGACCAGTGAATGTCCTGAACCATCTTCTACCGATATCAGCTACAGCTTGCTCAAGCTGAACACTTTATTTTACATATTTAATGGCATTATTAAAAAGCAAGTAAGAGGCTCTAGTCGGGAGTTCCCGACTAGGAGATACTCTGAACCATCTTTCACCAACGCCAAATGCAACTCGCGTTACAACCTTTTAGCAGTAATAAAAAAAATTAATTCCAAAACAAGAGGCTCTAGTCGGGAGCTCCCGACTAGGGGATACCCTGCACCCCCTTCTACCAACACAAAATGCAGCTCGCACTACGCGCTCATTTGCTTAGCAGTTAAAAAAAAAAAAACGTTCCCTAACTAGGAATCGAAATTGTAAAAGCTAGCAACACTTGCAAATGCCTCTACGCGACAGCTATACCCACAATTTATTTCTTATGGAAAAAAAACCAATTAAAATAGCAGCACATAAACACAGCACAGAAAACAATACAATCACAATTGCAATGCTGTTGATAGAATTCAAAGCAGACGCGCGTGAATGTTTGTGTGAATACAGAAATTCTTCAACAGTAGATCTTACTATGCTATAGAAAATTCGAATTTTCTCAAAAAGTTAATTGCATTAAAATTGTGGCTTAAATTGGTAGGCAATACAAATTACTTGATTTATAGCTATGTGGTGGTAGCGGGGATATATATAAAATGAAAGATACTTGATATATATATACTATTCTAGAAGCTACATGTCAAGTTTGGTGATTTTAGCTCTTATTATTTACCCAAATGGCTAAAAAAAAAAAAAGGATTTCGATATAGATTTTTATCGATTACTTGGAAACGGGGCAAGTTATCGAATATCGGATAAGAGCTACGTTCTAAATTGCAAGTCTCTAGCTCTTCTAGGTTCTGAGATCTTTGCGTTCATACATACGGACGGACGGACAGACAGACGGACATGGCTAGATCGACTCGGCTATTGATGCTGATTAATGATGCTTCCTTCTGCCTGTTACATACATTTGCACAAATATATTATACCCCTTTCCCCATTTTTAATGGGTTCACGGTATAAAACAGAGGCTTTAGTCGAGAGTTCCTGACTAGGAGATACCCTGAACCCTCTTCTACAACACCAAAGGCAGCTATTGCTACGAGCTCGTTTGCTTTATTTGCATATATCTCTATATATATATATATATATATCAAATTTATATATATATATATTTACATTATGTGATGTAGGTGCACGTTAAGACGGAGTTTCGGGAAATTACACCCGCAAGTGTGGAAAAATCGCGAAAATCGTTTGTATGTAACTTTTTTGTTTACCATCCGATCGGCCTCAAATTTATTTTCAAAGATCTTTGTTCAAATTTATTTGAGGGGTGCTTCACACTTTTAGGAAAATCCATTGCTCCTTGGTGGAAATGAAGGTCAAAGATTTGGTGGGTGATGTTTTGCGCTCAAATTTATTTCAGAGATCTATAAGAAAAATCATTTGAGACGTGTTTCACACTTTTCGCACAATTTAAACTTCTTCGGGGGGAAAGCGATTTAAAGATTTTTTGTGCGAAGTTTAAAAGTTGTGTCTGATTCGCTTCAAACTTATTTTCAAAGCTCTACATAAGAACTTAATAAATACGTATTTCAGCGATTTGGGAAATTCCACCCGCAACAGTGGTAAATTGTCGGAAAACGGCTGTATGAAAGTTTTTTGTTTACGATCCGATGGGCCCCAAACTTATTTCTAGAGATCTTTGTTCAAATTCATTTGAGGGGTGTTTCACACTTTTTGAAAAATACATCCCTCCTTGGTGCAAATGGGGGTCGAACATTTGGTGGATGACGTTTTGTGTTCAAATTTATTTCCAAAGATCTATAGGAAAAATCATTTGAAACGTGTTTCACATTTTTCGCAAAATCTAAACTCATTCGATGGAAAATGCATTTCAAAGATTTTTTTTGTGAATTTTAAGTTTTGTCCGATTTGCATAAAAGTTGTTTGATTCCCGTCCGATCAGTTTCAAAATCATTTTCAGTTTTTTGAAAACATTGATTTTATAACATACTTGAAAACATTGATTTTATAACATACATGCCACGGGCAAGGCCGGGTTATACCCGCTAGTATTTATATATAGATATATATATATATATATATATATACATATATATGTATATATGTATATGACCCCAAAAATAACAAAAAAAAATTTAGTTATTAGAGTCCCCAAGTCTATCCAAAACATTGGTTTAATTAAAAAAGGTAACAAAACATACATTTTTGTTGCATAGTGTAATCAAGTGGGCTTTGAGCATTCGTTTGGATTTTGGGAGCAGGCCGAGACGTTAATTTCGTTAAGTACATAAACACATACAGAGGCAGACATCAGTTTGATTTGAGCACGAGAAAATCCGGTTGAAATAGAAACGAATTCAAGCGTTCAACAAAATTTGTGCGTTTCTTTATATTTTGCATTTCTCCACCATACACATAAAGGAAGCGTATTGGCGGTTAGGAAACCAGTGTGGATTCCAGGAACGACCAGTGCAGCATGCAGAAGTTCGCTAGGGACAATTGGTTGGCGAGGGCAGCGCATGATAATATTGAAACAAAACATCAGAAACAGTGTGATGGTAAGTCTTTGAATTAAAGAAATAAGAGTGCCCTACTAAGGTCTCGTCGGAATTGCCCGACTAGGGGCTGCGCTGGACCTTCTGCCAACACCAATTCTATTTGTATGTATGCGTATGTGTGTGTACACATGATAGAGAAATTCTTGTGCTTGCAACACTTAACCACTCGTTTTCTTTATTAACTTCTATGTTTCTTGACCAAACTTAATGAAATTTTTAAAAGATTTTGTCGTTCGATATTTTCTATGGGCGAAGGTTGGCGGTAGCTATAAAATGAAAGATACGTGATCTGTATCTACTATTCTATTATATTGGTAACTCTAGCTTTTAAGGATTTTCTGAAAAAACAGGATTTCGATATCGTTTCTTATCGATTTCTTGGAAACGGGCAAGTTATCGATTATCGGAAACTGATTCGTACTGCGCGGGCAATAGGATCAGCCAGATATGTTCAAATCAAGAATATATACAGTTAATGGTGTCGGATTATTATTCCTTCTGCCTTTTACATACATTTGCACAAAACTGTAATACACATTCGATTTCTTCTTTAAAGCTTAAAACGAAATATTATAATGTATTTACAATATTAACAAATTCCAAATATCACTAAGCTAATAATTATAATAATCGTAAGGCTTATAAGCTAGTCCGAAAGTTGCTGTATTAATTTCCATCTCGTATGTTTTGATAAGAAGTTAGGGATCCTACCTGATGCTATACGTTTGCTAAACCAGCTTACTTTTAATGTATTTCTATCTTTTTCCACAAATCTGTCAATGTATAGTAATTTTCAATCATTTTCTGACGCAATCGTAAATAATATGTTTATGTTGTACGAATTCAAAACAAAAAGGGACTTTTATATTTCTGTCAAATCGTTGACGTACTTCGGCAATATTCTTGGTGTGTATTGAAGTTTCTTGATTGTATAGTCCAGGAGTTCTTCCATGATGTATCATAGTTTCTTCTTCATATTTAAGCTTTATATTTTCTTTGATGCAAAACTCAACAATTGTCATAAATAGTATATTTTGAATCCTTGTGTTCCGTTAGTTTTGTCATTTTATTATTTTCATTTTCATTGAAGTCTGTGGGTATACTACACAAATAGCTTTAAAATTCCACCGAGTTGTTTATATTGTATTTGGAGTTCGCGACTGTTTTTTATTATATCCCATATGTATTTGCACAAATTGTATGACGGCGAGTTTACTGAGGAGCATGCGGGTGTCTCAGTGGCATTTCGTCTTTAAGCCTTTTGTAATCCATATATCTTGGGCGGTAACGCTGTAAGTGTCACACGTTTATTCCTTTTAGCCTTTCGAAATACTGTCATCTAGTTTATTTTTTTGTATATCCTAACTCAATAAAAATGGATAAGCCAAGGTATAATGGTTTTGTGCAAATGTATGAACAAAAAAGTCAAACGCTGGTTTTGGCGACCTTTCCATTTTTATACCCTGAAAATGGGTAAAGACGGTATAATGTATTTGTGCAAATGTATGTAACAGGAGAAGGAAGCATCTCCGACCCCATAAAGTATATATATTCTTCATCAGCATCAACAGCCGAGTCGATCTAGCCATGTCCGTCTGTCCGTCCGTCCGTCCGTATGTATGAACGCTAGGATATCAGAACCTAAAAGAGCTAGAGACTTGAAATTTTAGCTGTAGGTCCTCCTAATGCCCGCGCAGATCGAGTTTGTTTCCGATATTCGATAACTTGTCCCGTTTCCAAGTAATCGATAAAAATCGAAATCGAAATCCTGTTTTTTGAGCAAATTGGGTAAATAATAAGAGCTAGAGTCGCCAAACTTGACATTTTGCTCCTAGAATAGTATATATATATCAATATCTTTTATTTTATACCTATCGCCACCTCCCTGCTACCACCGAAAAGCTATAAATCCAGTTAATTATCCAACTTGTATAGCCCATTATATGCTATTGACTTTTTGAGAATACACAAATATTCTATATTCTATTCTGCAATAAGATGTTGCAACTAGAACCTCTTACTTGTTAAATCTTTATTTAGCTAGTTTGAGGTCCGGAGTTTAGTTTATTAAACTAACAAAAATAAGTAGTATAAGAAAACCATAACCGCTAGACGAATACTTAACTCTAACTCTAAACACCCGAGAAGTATTATAATAAATACAGCACTAAGCTGTATGAGATGGATGATCAATGAATCGGACACAATATACAACAAAGAAATTGGACACGAAATTAAAAATTCTTGACGAAAATTAATTCCCAAAGAATGTAATTAAAACATTTTTTAAAATACGACAAATCAGAACACAAAAGCCAACAGAACCTACCAAAATATACAAATCTCTAACATATGTACCACGATATCACTAATAACCCGCTGTATGAATATCAACCACACACCAAACTTCGATGCAAAAAACAATACTTCAGCAAAAACAACACTACAACAAGCGGCGTATATTGAAATTGATACACATATTAAACACACCAAACAACAAACAACTAAATTACAAAACAGACACCGAAAATTGCGCTCTCATATATAGAATTCTATTGAACGGCCAAATAGTTTCAACCTCCACGTCAAAGAGCGCAGACCTGTAAAGCAATGTATGTTTAAAATTGTTTGGGTAATTATTTAATTTAATTTATTTAAATGTTATTTGTTTTGTTTTTAAGCTAGTGCCCTGAAGACAGTTGCCGAAGCGCAACCAAAATAGATAGGGAAAGTATATATCAAAACAAAATTGTTTTTTATTTTTGATTTTAAAAAACTAAGCCTCTGACCTCGAAACAGGTAAACAAATATAAAAAAAGGTTAGATCCAACCGTTTTTCACAAATTTCCCGAATCCCCACTACAGTACAAACACAAGTATGAAGCTCTAGTCGGGAGTTTCCACTAGAGGATATCCTAAACCCTCTTCACTAAAATCAAATGCAGCTCGCTATACAAGCAGGTTTCCCTTAGCAGTTAAAAAAAAATAAATTTAAAAAAAATAGATCCTTCAATAGGATTCGAATCCGTAACAGACCGCACAACATGCTAACAATTAAAAGCTTGTCAGTAGCTAAGAGATTTGCTCAAAAAACAGTTTAATATATAGCGATTACCCTATTTAAATACACATTATCAACTACAAGACTTCGCTTGGCATCATAAACTAATTCTTGAATAACTTTTGCATGTCAGACTAGAAAGCTCAGCTCAAATAATTTTTTACTCTGTTCCCAAAGTGTAAAATAGTACATTGTTTTTGTTCAATGTCGCTCTTGTTATCTGTGCGGAAGTCCGCAATATTCGTTGCGTAAGTCCATATCTTCCACAGTTTGTAACCTAGGGTCACAAAATTGAGCTGTTATAATTTTTATACCACGCATACTGATCTAGTTTTCAAATTAAACAGTACACTAGACGGCATATATATTTTGACATAGTGATGCATCAGTTTATTTTTCAATTCTTTCTTATTTTAAGAGAACAGTTTTTGATTTTATTTATTATAGTTAGCTATATATAACAATTATTTATTTTCAACATATAAAATAAAAAATAAAGATATTCTAAAGGTGGCATAAGTATTTTGACAAAATGTTGTTTATCAGCTTAATATAATATTTTGTATGAAAAATTCAATTAAAACTTAAAATTAATGAAAAATACTCAAGCACCTTTTGGAGACGGTTCTGAACGGAATCCACCAAGGTTTGGAGGTGCTTTAATGGAATCCTTTTCTACTTTTATGTGACCACAGTGATCGTTTCGTCCCTTGTGTTAGTCAGATCGGCGGTTCAATAATGATCAAATTTGGACTTTCAGTTGTCCAGGATCTAGTGTTTCCACCCCAACTTTTTTTTAAAAATGTGGTAATAATTTTCGCCTAGTGGCAAGGAGCGTTTTCCTGGAGAATAAATTCTTCCCCGATCTGTGGCTTCATAGAACCAAAGGCAATATAAACAGATGAGTAACGCCCATACATTTGCATGCGAAGAAAAATTTCTAGCCTGGCTTCCTATCTGGCCTTTACGACTTCACACAACAAGGCAGCCGACTGCTGTTCGTTCAGAAGAGCGAATGCCGTAGTCGCGGTTTGCTGATGCTGACACGAGCAACGAAGTTAGTCGTCAGCCTGCCTTCAACAAAGCTGGTCGATGGTACTTTGCGTCGCTTCGTTTTCGAAGTACATTGAGCGAAAAGTTTTAAACTTACGATCGACGCAAAGTACTTTGGCTTTATCCATGAAATGCATGATTTATTTAAATGATACATTACCCTAGATACTTACAATCAATTTTACAGGAAAATTTAAGAATTCACAAAGCGCATCTTGTGCAATAACAATGTTAGGAAAATAGCACATATAGACTGATTTCACTTTTGTTTTTGAACAGTGTATGCTCCAGAGAAGTTCTTGTCTCAGCCAATGGCGTGCCAGAACCAATGTTTGTATGTGTGAATTATGCATTCATAGCTACATCAAAATATGTATATGTATATGTGTTGTTATTCACTGCTCTCGCTTTGGCTGGCAAAGAAATCAATTTTCTTAGGTTTTTAGCGCTTATCATGCACAACCTATCCCAAATTTGTATTCACATATGAATGCATGTTATGTACTGAGGTCGGCTCTGTAGAAAATATGTATTTTTAAGTGGATGCAAATATTAATATAATTTTATGATTCTATATATTCTATAATTAAATGATTAATTATTATTATTTTTATTTTATTAAAAAATAAAAGAGTGCCAAAAAATACAAATAGGGTAAATTAAATACTTCTGTAGCTAGTTCGACCGGCGGAAAAAAAAATAGATGAAACAAAAAAAATTGATAAAATGAATCTTTAGAAGCAAAATATGTGCACTCTGATTTGATTTTATTTTTGTATTTCTTAAAAATAAGAAAAGGTTCTAGTCGGAAGCTCCCGACTAGGGGATACCTAGTACCCTCTTCTTCCAACAGCAAATGCAGTTCGCACTACGCGCTCGTTTGCTT